CCCTGCAGCACAGCCCCCCCGGCTGAGCCCCCCCCCTGTCAGCTGCAGCACAGCGCCCCCTGCTGGGCCCCCTCCTGCTCCCTGCAGCACAGAGTCCCACACTGCTGCTCTGAGGTATTGGGCCCAGCCCTGCCTGCCAGGGGAGAGCGCCCCCTGCTGAGCCATCTCCAGCACACGCCCTACCTGGCATCAGTGCGTGGAGCATCTTCCTCCACACCTGGAACTTGAAGTCATCCGTGATGATCGGCAGCTGAATGTCCATGCGGGCGACGGGTGGGGACTCTCCCAGGATCTTCTGCAGCCTGCAGGGAAGGGAGAGCAGTCGGAGGAGCGACGGGGGAGGTTAAGACTGTGAGTCAATTCCTGGAGCCAGGCATCTGGCGGGAGTGTGCACGGCTCTTGTGCAAGGGGAGGTTGTGCACAGGGCTGGGTGGTGCACACAACGAGAGAGGCACTCAGGCCTCGTGCAACAGGCTGGGCTCATGGTTAAGACACTGGCCTGGACCTCAGGACACTGGGATTCAATTCCTAGCGCCGCCACAACCTCCCCTCCCGCACATGTCACTGAATCTCTCCAGGCCTCAGTTTCCCTATTTGTGAACTGAAGCTAAAAATGGGGGGTGGGGATGAGGTAGTGCGCAAAGGGAAGGTGGTGAAAACAGTGCGTGTGCGACTGGCTGGAGCCTGACCCTTTTCCGTCTGGGCTGAGGGGATTGGAGGCCTCCTGCAAGAGCAGAGACTGGACTCGGCCACCCAGGAGGGCTGTTCTGGTCCCATGTCCCCTGCCCCGTGGGCTGGAGGGGGGGCAGGACTGCGGGGGAGCAGATGGGGGGGGCAATGGGAGTATTTCTGTGAGGAGGAAGATGAGAATGATGATTAGTGCCTGGCCCATAGCATCCCCCCATTCCCAACCCCACACTCAGATCCCATCCCCCCACCCTAACCCAGGAACACACAGACTCAGGGGCAGGGTCCCAGACAGATACACAGACACAGGGGCGGGGCCCCAGACAGACACAGGGGGTGGGGCCCCAGACAGACACACAGACTCAGGGGTGGGGTCCCAGACAGACACACAGACAGATTGGCCCATGGATCTGATCTGGGGTGTCATGGAGGGACAGATACTGGGGTAGATGGGCCCATGGGTCTGATCCGGGGCATCAGGGAGGGACAGATACCGGGGTAGATTGGCCCATGGATCTGATCTGGGGTGTCATGGAGGGACAGATACTGGGGTAGATGGGCCCATGGGTCTGATCCGGGGCATCAGGGAGGGACAGATACCGGGGTAGATTGGCCCATGGATCTGATCTGGGGTGTCATGGAGGGACAGATACTGGGGTAGATGGGCCCATGGGTCTGATCCGGGGCATCAGGGAGGGACAGATACCGGGGTAGATTGGCCCATGGATCTGATCTGGGGTGTCATGGAGGGACAGATACTGGGGTAGATGGGCCCATGGGTCTGATCCGGGGCATCAGGGAGGGACAGATACCGGGGTAGATTGGCCCATGGATCTGATCTGGGGTGTCATGGAGGGACAGATACTGGGGTAGATGGGCCCATGGGTCTGATCCGGGGCATCAGGGAGGGACAGATACCGGGGTAGATTGGCCCATGGATCTGATCTGGGGTGTCATGGAGGGACAGATACTGGGGTAGATGGGCCCATGGGTCTGATCCGGGGCATCAGGGAGGGACAGATACCGGGGTAGATTGGCCCATGGATCTGATCTGGGGTGTCATGGAGGGACAGATACTGGGGTAGATGGGCCCATGGGTCTGATCCGGGGCATCAGGGAGGGACAGATACCGGGGTAGATTGGCCCATGGATCTGATCTGGGGTGTCATGGAGGGACAGATACTGGGGTAGATGGGCCCATGGGTCTGATCCGGGGCATCAGGGAGGGACAGATACCGGGGTAGATTGGCCCATGGATCTGATCTGGGGTGTCATGGAGGGACAGATACTGGGGTAGATGGGCCCATGGGTCTGATCCGGGGCATCAGGGAGGGACAGATACCGGGGTAGATTGGCCCATGGATCTGATCTGGGGTGTCATGGAGGGACAGATACTGGGGTAGATGGGCCCATGGGTCTGATCCGGGGCATCAGGGAGGGACAGATACCGGGGTAGATTGGCCCATGGATCTGATCTGGGGTGTCATGGAGGGACAGATACTGGGGTAGATGGGCCCATGGGTCTGATCCGGGGCATCAGGGAGGGACAGATACCGGGGTAGATTGGCCCATGGATCTGATCTGGGGTGTCATGGAGGGACAGATACTGGGGTAGATGGGCCCATGGGTCTGATCCGGGGCATCAGGGAGGGACAGATACCGGGGTAGATTGGCCCATGGATCTGATCTGGGGTGTCATGGAGGGACAGATACTGGGGTAGATGGGCCCATGGGTCTGATCCGGGGCATCAGGGAGGGACAGATACCGGGGTAGATTGGCCCATGGATCTGATCTGGGGTGTCATGGAGGGACAGATACTGGGGTAGATGGGCCCATGGGTCTGATCCGGGGCATCAGGGAGGGACAGATACCGGGGTAGATTGGCCCATGGATCTGATCTGGGGTGTCATGGAGGGACAGATACTGGGGTAGATGGGCCCATGGGTCTGATCCGGGGCATCAGGGAGGGACAGATACCGGGGTAGATTGGCCCATGGATCTGATCTGGGGTGTCATGGAGGGACAGATACTGGGGTAGATGGGCCCATGGGTCTGATCCGGGGCATCAGGGAGGGACAGATACCGGGGTAGATTGGCCCATGGATCTGATCTGGGGTGTCATGGAGGGACAGATACTGGGGTAGATGGGCCCATGGGTCTGATCCGGGGCATCAGGGAGGGACAGATACCGGGGTAGATTGGCCCATGGATCTGATCTGGGGTGTCATGGAGGGACAGATACTGGGGTAGATGGGCCCATGGGTCTGATCCGGGGCATCAGGGAGGGACAGATACCGGGGTAGATTGGCCCATGGATCTGATCTGGGGTGTCATGGAGGGACAGATACTGGGGTAGATGGGCCCATGGGTCTGATCCGGGGCATCAGGGAGGGACAGATACCGGGGTAGATTGGCCCATGGATCTGATCTGGGGTGTCATGGAGGGACAGATACTGGGGTAGATGGGCCCATGGGTCTGATCCGGGGCATCAGGGAGGGACAGATACCGGGGTAGATTGGCCCATGGATCTGATCTGGGGTGTCATGGAGGGACAGATACTGGGGTAGATGGGCCCATGGGTCTGATCCGGGGCATCAGGGAGGGACAGATACCGGGGTAGATTGGCCCATGGATCTGATCTGGGGTGTCATGGAGGGACAGATACTGGGGTAGATGGGCCCATGGGTCTGATCCAGGGTGGCAGGGAGGGGGCGGGATACTGGGGTAGATGGGCCCATGGATCTGATCCATGGTGGCAGGGAGGGGGCGGGATACCGGGGTAGATGGGCCCATGGGTCTGATCTGGAGGCTGCAGGAGCAGATTAACTGTTCTGGGGACTTGGGGCTATTAGATTTTGTGGGCCCCCAAAATGTGGGCGGGAGGGAGGGGGCTGCGGGTGGAGGCAGGAGCATTAGGTGCGGGATGGGGGGAGGGCTCCCATCGTGGGGGGAGGCGCTGGGG